GCTAGGAGACATTTGCTGGAATTTTCAGCAAAAGATGTAACACGATGATGATTAAGAACAATAAAACTATAATTTAATTCGAAATTTGATACGATTTAATAAATTTAAGGTAGAAAAAAGCAAAATTATGCAATGTATTAAATTTTGTGGGCTTAATTAGGATAAAAAAACTTGTTTACTCTGTTGCCCTTTTCAATTCAATAATTAAAATAAACGAAAAAAAATATCAAATAATGGTTGTTTTTTTACTTAAAATACATTAAAATTTTAATTTTAGTATTTAAAATGTCATTTTGTTAAAATAAATATGATCGATTTGCCGTATACCGATTTCTTCAGTACATTCAATATAAATTTAAGCCAAAATAATTTAATAAATAATTAAAATACTAACAAAAAAACTAACATTTTGACGTGATTGAGCAGAGCATTTTATTACGAAATTATTTTAAATCCTAGACGTCCTAGATAAAAACAAATGACAATTTTGAAATCAGTGGCCAAAAATTAGTTAAACCTAGCTGGAGTACTCAATGTTAGGAAAAAAAAGTTTTTAAAACTATCATGGTGTTTTTAATAGGGTTTTATTTGAAAAAACTGTTGCGCCCGGTTCAACCGGAAGTGACTGCGCATTGGAAATTTTTAGAAAAACACCTAGTCCTAGTTTATTTAACAACAATTAGAAGTATACTTATGTTTACTATCTTTAATAAAACACCAAATTTGCACAAAAAATTGGTTATAATATTAATAATGTAAATATTTAAAACTTACTTTTTTAATATTAGAAAAGTATCAGTAATACACTTTCATGGCACTATTAAACAAGTAAAAGTTATTTTAATTTTATAATAATTATCACCGAAATTATTTTCTTTATGCCAGTTTAAAAACAAAACGACTAGTAATACAAATATTTTTAATTTATTAAAATAAATACAACCTTTCAAATATAAACAACCTTCCAAAGATTTAGTTGTAAGAACATCCAAAACACCATTTATAAAAGTAATTAAAGTGAGTTTAACCTTCACAATCTACATAAAAATTGATCCACATGGTTAAATACATTTTCCTGTAAAGCCACCCATATTTTTTCTCCTATTTATTTTGGTTGATCTATAAAGCTTACTTAATAATTTTATTGCATCAAATATTTTACCTAAAGACCTCTTTCATTGGCTCACCCGTCACCAAATCACCTAAAATGGGATGTCGAAGCACTCCTTTAGGATTTTCTAGCAAAATTCTAAACAAGGTTGAAATGTAGCCGTCGTTGGTGGTGACCGTATAATTTTTATAGTTTTCTTCTCCCAAATGCCTGTCAATAACTAAAGCTAAAATTAAATATTATTAAATAAACAAAATATTGCTTTTACTATACTAACCGTATCATTTTACCTTATGCGCAATGCGCATTGCGCATAGTCAGTTCATAAGTGGGTGTTTTAATTAAATTATACCATAGACATATTAATACGTCTATATATGATACTAATTGTAAATTAAATAAAATTAAGGATATATCAAATTTTCTAAATCATTTGCTTACAACGCCTAAATCATTTGCTTACATCGCCTAATAAAATAAAATTGTATGGTTTGGCTTTACAAAAAGCAAAAAGTGGCATAATATGCATATTATGTAAAAGCCACTAAACAGAATAAAAAAAACAATACCAAAAAAATTTGTATTTTAAAAACAAACAAAATGGTTAATTATAAGAACCATCTACATATTAATATGTCTATGATATCGTGGTCGCAGCATGGAGTCAGTCAAGCTTTGATACTCGCGACAAAATAAATAAATATACGTGCAAATAAATAGACTCTTGAACAGTAGTGATATATTAATAATTAGTAGTTAAGTGTTTAGTTAGTTTTAGGGTTTCTTAATGTTTTAAGTGTAATTAAGTTTTAAAATAAATAGTTTAGTTCGTTAATAAACCAGTGCGTGTTTTAATTCACACTACTAACAGTAAAAACGTTACAATATCATCATTTTGTGTGATTATTTTGTTAAATTTTTTTTTATACAAATTTTATACAATTTAATAAAAAGTATGTATTGTACTTTCCAAATAGGAAAAAAAAACATGGCATTGACGCCACGCATGTGCATCAATGCAATCTCTCGTGTGATTCTCACTTCCCCTACTTTAACCCCACGAAAATAAAACAGTCTCAGTTAGAAATTATTTATAAATAATTTCTAACTAAGACTGTTAAAAAGTGATATTAGAACGGTCATATTTCGTAATAGGAGTAGAAAATAGTATATTATTATAATATAATGCCCATAATTTAGAGTGTAATACTATACATTATCTACTTCAATAAGTAGATAATTAAATGATTTTTTAAAATAATTAAATAAAATCTGACATCTGTCAAATGGTTAAACTTCCTTCTTACCAATTTTAAATGTTTTTATAGTCGCCTTCTTTCAATTTAAAACCGGATTGGTTCAAATCACAGTACATATTTAAATCAGCAAATCACTGATGCCTAACAACGTGAATAATGAGTTCATTATTCCCGTTGTTAGGCAGGGAATTTATAATGTTTATTATTATCAACGAAAAACAAACAAAATTGTGAAGTAGGAGTAGATAAATATATTTAATAATAATAATAATAATAATAAACGTCTTTATCGAAATAAGAAAATACACTATTTCAAATTTACGTTTAGAAGCAGAAAGTGTTAATTTTTTTTAAATTTAATTAATTAAAAGGTCAGAACATTTTTTTTGTTCAATTTTCATTTTATAAATATCTAATGAGTCATTAGTAATGATTTTTTTAATAAATAATAGTCGCAGTTTAATTAAAAATGTAACTTTGTATCTTAACACACCTAGTTACTTAGAATTTGTAACTAGTTACAGTTATAGTTACTAGATTGGGATAAGTAACTAGTTACACAAACAGATACATAAAAAGTATCTAGATACTGTATCTAGTTACTTGTAACTAGATACGTTACAACACTGGCTGTGTGGTAACTATTCCTTGACTAGAAAGTAGTTATTATAAAACTAACAGAAAAAATACAAAAACGTAGTAAATGTGTCTTTTACGCATATGGTGATTTTGAAGTAAATACCAACGTATAAACTTAAAATTACTGAAAAAATACTGGAAAAGAACATAAAAACCAAGTGTAGGTATAAATAATTAGATTTAAGGTTAAGATTCGTTTGTATTAATATAAATAATCAATAAGTATTTTAAACCCACATTTGATCAGGTGGAGCCTTTTTAAAAACTGATAATTAAATAAATAAATTGAATAAATGAAAATAAAGTAGCTTTGTTAAAGTATTTATAAACATATCTTAAAATGAAAAAAAATATATAAAAAATAAACTCAAACATTCTTATCACACAATGGAATGGGTTAAATATTAATTTTTTCCAAACTGTCATTATTTTTTTTTAATATCCGCCATATTGTTTTTGAAAAATGGTTATTAAATTAGTAATAAGCCACCCCAAAAATATGTAAAAACAAAATTTTATACAAATCGTTTTGGTCGTTTCCAAAAACCCATTATTTATTTATTTATATATAATTCTTGTATATAAATATATAATGGTGTACCAGATAATATACTTTTAATAGGGTGATAATTACAAAAAGCCACAGGCAAACATACACATTTTTGAAAATAAATTTTATATAGTCTCTCGAATTTTTTATTTAGGTAGAGTACACCTCAGAGGGTCCACAAGGTGGTTTTACAAAAAAAAAATTGTTATTGTTTTTGCGACAATAAAATATATTTTTTTAAAATTTGTCATGCGGACACTGCTGAATAAAATCATTTGAAATTTACAAGGTTTAAAAATTGTCACGTGCTGAAGTTAGCAACAGGTTTTTAGTAAACATTCCTTTTCACTTTTACTGTGAAAAACATTTAAACGGTTGTTAGTCAATTTATAAGGAATAAATTTTAATTTACACATCCAAATTTGACATTTTGGCTGACGCGACGGTAAGTTGTCGCTCTATACAAATATTTAATTTAAATCCTTTTTAGACATTAATAAGTATTTGTCGTAGAAAAAGTATAGTATGAAACTTTTATAGACACTAATTTAATAAAATTCTGACTAAAATAAAGTTTATCAAACTAAGTTAAAACATACTGTACTATTTTTATAATTTACTTACAATTATAAAAGCAGCACACTTAATCTCATAAAGTATGTATTAATTTTATTGCTTTATCTCTTATTTTTTTTATTTAAATACTATCAGATGATAAGATTGTTATTAGGAATATCAATCTAGTATATTGGGTTAGGTTTACGTAACAGTATATTGTAAATTTAGTAAATTATTTTTGGTAAGTTATTAATTTAATAATCAGATATTCTCTAAAATGGAATTAGTCAAAAATGACTAATTACTGCAGTTATTAGTGGCTGCTTTTTCACTTATACCATGGTAAGTAAAACAGTTTTTGAGATATAGTCAATTTTCCATTTAATATGGAATTGACTTTTATAATTTTTGACAGTATTTTCGTATTCAGGGGACAATTTTACATAAGAATTGACTAATATATCGGGGATACCATGCTATCCCATGGTATACCACGGTATAAGTGAAAGAGCAGCCACTAATAACTATGGTAATTAGTCATTTGACCAATTCATTTTTAGAAAGTTAATTAATTATATCATTATAACTAGGCAAAATGGCAAACGAACACCTAATTCAGTTTACCGATCAACTTATACAAGGGAAAATTTTTAGTTGTTGTATTTGCGATGAAGTTTGCACTTCAGCGATATATTTGGTGGTGGGCCGAGGAAATGTGTGTTCCAATTGTTATCAAAACAAATGCGATAACAAGCAAAAATCCAAGGGAGAGTTAAACAATTCGCTTATCTATATTTTATCACTTTTATATTTTCCTTGCAAGTACCAAGCCAAAGGTTGCGATCAGAGAGTGGCGACTAAAGATTATTTAAATCATATCGCAATGTGCGAATTTAAACCAAAATCATGTCCGATGTTGCATTACAAAGGTTGTGAATGGAAGGGATGCAATTGGGAGATAAGTGGACATTTCGCAGAAATTCATCAAAAACATGTAATAAAAAGTGAAAACAATATTTTTAAGGTCAAAGCATCCCTATCTGAAGCTTATAACGTGAAATTATTATCAGACAACAGCAAAAACTGCATTTTAAACATTTTAATTGCCAATCAAAAATTCTACTATGCATTAAATCCAATCGAACAATCCATGGAAAATGATGAATACTCTGTAAAACACAAGAGTATAAAATCAGAAGACAACTATTTAACAACCGGAGGTACTCTAAAACGACTTAATGTTATTTACACTGAAAGGAACTTAAATAAAAACCCCAATTCAACTGCGGTTAGCCTTGCTTCATTAAAACATCTCGCTGACAAAAATAATATGATTACGAACGAATTCAATCTGAATCCAAAAGGGATCGATGAAAATACGTTGAAACAATTGGAATGCCCTGTTTGCATGAATATAATGCGTCCGCCAATTTATCAGTGCGCTGCTGGACACAGTATCTGTATTTTGTGCCGTAAAAAAGTTAAACAATGTCCCCTATGCCAGAAGGGGTGGACCGATTCAAGGAACTATTTCGTTGAAAATTTGACAACCAACATTAAATACCCATGTAAGTTTTATGAAGCGGGTTGTAAAGAGGTTTTAATCGATGATAGAATAAGGAAACATGAAGAATCGTGTGATTTTCAAACCTACCAATGCAAAATGGAATGCCATCAAATTGGAAACTACCAATTTATACTAAAACATTTAATGAACCACCATAAGGATATGGAATATACAAAAGACATGGTAATATATTATACACCAAATGAAAGTTTAACTAAAAAATGGATTATTTTTGATTTAATGATTTTTTATATAAAATATTTATACGATCCCAAAGGTAATGTATGTTGGAATGTAACTGGTCTTACTAAGTTTCAAAGTTCAATGTATAGTTACGAAGTAACAATTTTAAATAATGAAACTGAGTGGTCGCTAATAAAAAAATCAAATTGCTCAAATGCAATGTCAAATTTTTGGTGTAAAAAAGACTGTATGAGATTTACTATTTCTATACAAAGACAATGACAAATTTAAAACAATGTTAGTTTATTTGGTAAACAGTCTTTATTATGTTAAGTGTAAAAGGAATTTTAATTAAACTAAAATTTAAAGATTTTTAATTTTTTTAAATTATATCCCTAGTTATTCTTTTTCTTAGTCCAGTAAGGATAGTTAACCAATCGACTATAATGGAACTCAGTAAGGAGATGCTTATGCTATTTTATCTACTCCAATTGCATAATATTGTTTTTTTCGTGAATAATGACAAACATTATAAAATCCCTGCCTAACAACGGAAATAATAAACTTATTATTCAAGTTGTTATAAGCATATATAGGCATTAGTGATTAACCGATTTTAATATTCACTGTGATTTGAACCAACCGGGTTTAAAATTGGGAGAAGGCGACTATTATCATAAAATTTAATATTGGTAAAAAGTGAGGTTAACCATTTGACATATCGTCACCTGAGAATTATAGTGTTCTATCTGCATTTTCTTTTTTTTATTCAGGTTAGTCTTGTTTTAAGTATTTAAGATGCATATTGTTCTATCTATATATAATTGGGGTAGAAATTGTACAGTTTAAACCTTAAACTTTACAATTTCTACCCCAATTATATATAGATAGATCAATATCATCTTAAAACTTAAAACAAGACTAACCTGAATAAAAAAAAGAAAATAAGGATAGAACACTATAATTCTCAGGTGACGATATGTCAGATTTTATTTAATTATTTTTGGTTATCATTTAATTATCTACTTATTAGAATGGATAAAGTTTAGTATTACACTCGAGATTATGCGCATTATTTATATCGTAAAATAATATATTATTTTTAGACATTTAATAAAAATTTCATAATATTTTTACATGAGTATTTTAGCTACATTTTTTTTCTAAAATATTTTTAACAATGTTTTAAATTTTATTATCAAACGCGTGTTACAAGCTGTTAGAAATTCTCTTTTACTGAAAAAAATTATGGGTGATTCTGAGGGCGAAGAAAATACAAATAATATATTATTTTGGAAATAGGACGTTTCTCTATAAAACTAATGAAGACAAATCATCTCTATCATGCCAATCACGGTGGACGGTAGATGTCGCTGAGAACTCTCGTTCGCTGTGTTTTCACCTCTGTTCTAAATCATTACTTGCTATAAGAGCGGCTGGTGCATTTTTTTGTGTGCTTTGGACCAACACGGCTACCCGACACTGATGAAGACCAAAAGTCCGATAGGCACTACTTCTTTAGTAGGAAAACCATGCTAATATCATATACAATAACCTGCATATATATATATATATATATATATATATATATTTTTGTGTGTGGTCACCTTTAGAGTAAACACGTGAACTAAGGTACGCTATCTTTAGATATAAGAAACACCCACTAAAACTTCAATATAAATACCTAAACTTAGTCAAATAATAATAAGTAACTTCAAAGCTAATAAACACTAAAAAAAAATCGTAAACTCAAGTGCCCAGACTACAACTAAATCAATGAAACACTTATGCATACACCAGTAAACAATCAAATATAAAAAAACTCCAATATAAAGGAATCCACACACTGAAAGTTATTAAAAATACACTACCTCGTAAAATGGGAGATTTTAGTGAATCTCAAAAAGATTTCCTAACGGATATTATTTCCAAGCTAAATAGTAACATAATAAAAAAGAGTGAGGAAGTTAAAGAGGAAATAAAAAAGGAAATAGCAAGTTTAAAGACTGAACTACAATTAACTGCTGACGGATTTGAAAAACGAATCTCAGAGTTGGAGCAGCAAAACACTCAACTACACACAGAAAATCTGCACCTCCAAAGAAAATTAAGAAAAAATAACGTCGTGATATTTGGATTAAAAACGGAAGGTGATAATTTAATTGAACAGATAATTAACTTCTGTGCCTCTATTCTAAAAGTTACTATTACCGAAACTGATATAAACGACGTCTACAAGTTGGGGCCCAAAAATAATCCTAAGACGCCGATACTTTTGGAATTTATATCCTACCAAAAAAAAGTACACATTCTTCAAAACGCTCACAGACTAAAAGGGAAATCAATTTATATAAACCAAGATCACTGTACTGAAGACCTAGCGATAAACAAAATACTGCAAAAACACAAAAAGGAAGCAACATCCAAAGGTTTAAGTGCTAAAATAAAAAGTGGCAAACTAATTTTTGGCGAAGATATATATACCATCGAGGATCTTGAAAATCCACACACAAGATTGGAGGAAAATAAGGAACCCAGACCATCAAGTGCCCCATCCACGCCAAATCCACAAGATCGACAGAAAAGACTGCTGAACGAGCTAAACCTATCACTGGAGGAGGAATTGGGAGTAGAAACTCAAGAAAATAAAAAGCCAAAGCTAACATCCACCACTAAACAATCTGTTGGAGCAGACAAGAAGTCAGAAACGGCACGCAAAACAACTCGGGCCGCAGCCGCAACAAACAAAAACAGATAGTCTACTGTTTCATTTTTAATTTATTTGTCTATTTTTTATTAAAATTTTAGGTTAGTTTATCACTTAGATTGTTTGTTTGTTTTTATTTCTTATTTTAATTAGGATTAAGAGGAGGTTTTAAACTTAATATTGTCTATTTTAAATTCTAGTTTATCACTTAGATTGTTTGTTTGTTTTTATTTCTTATTTTAATTAGGATTAAGAGGAGGTTTTAAACTTAATATTGTCTATTTTAAATTCTAAATGGAAGTATTTCCGGATGAAATTGTAGAAAACATCGAGTTACAAACTCTCATTCTTGATAACGCTTATCAATGCAACAAAGTTTTTAAAGTAAATTCGGAAAATCCGAACTTTAAAATAATACATTTAAATGTTAGAAGTATTAGAAAAAATTTACCGGAGTTAGAAATCTTTTTAGAGCAGTTTACACATAAATTTGAATGTATAGTTTTAACAGAAACTCGACAAATAAATATAGAATATATAAAGCTTGATGGGTATAAAGTAGTTTATAACGATGGTAATTATAATCAAAACGATGGAGTAATTATGTTTATTAGAGATGATCTAGATTTTTCTTATAAGATTGATAAAGTAGCTGAATGCAAAATTATAAATTCAAAAATTAATTTTTATCATACAACAATAAATTTAATAGGAATATATAGATTACACGGGATTGACCTTACACAATTTTTAATAGATTTAGATTTTTACTTTCAAGCGAACTTGACAAATACAGACGTGTCTATATTTATGGGTGATCTCAACATAAATATACTAAATCCCTCAGGTTTATCTAGTGAATACCTAAACATCATGGGGGAATACGGTTTTAAGTCAGTTATAAATGAAATAACAAGGGAACAAAATAATGAAACGTCATGCATAGATCACATTTTTATTAAAGCAAAAAATAACCTAGATGATTGTATATTGCCGGTAATTGTTAAATCAAAAATAACAGATCACTATCCAATTATGGCCCAAATCGTATTAAGCCACAAAAAATTACACAAAATTGAAAGAAAAAGATATATGAAACAAATAAACTATAGGGACTTAAATAGGGATTTACACAATGTAGACTGGAACACAGTTTTAAACGATGACGTGGAACCTGCAACAGAAACATTTATAAATATATTAAAACAAAATATCAATAAAAACACTATTTATAAAAGGATTAAAAAAGAAAACCAAAAAAGAAAAGGATGGATAACACAAGGTATTATAAACTCTATACATTATAGAGACAAATTATATAAGCAGTATAAAGAAACAGGAGACCTTAATATAAGACAAAAATATACAACCTACAGAAACAAATTAAACAATATGATAGTTAAAGCAAAAAGCAATTTCTACAAACAAAAAATTAATAATAATTCAAACAACAAAGAATTATGGAAAACAATAAACAGCTTAAAAAATAATAATAAAACTGACAACAAAATAAAAGAAATAATAGATGGAGATGTAATAACAACAGATATGACAAGAATAACTAATATATTTAATGAACACTATATAAATATGGGCAGTCTCCTGGCTGAAAAGATTAATCCACCGCTAAACTATAAGGAAAATTGCCTTAATCTTAACAACTCAATGTTTTTGATGCCAACCCATGATGAAGAAGTCAAATTAGTAATTAAAAGATTAAAAAATAAAAAAGCTGTGGGGGTGGATGGAATAAGTAGTTATACATTAAAAAATATTTCTAAGGCAATAGCAAAACCACTATCAACTATTATAAATAAGATTTTTGAATCTGGGATATGTCCACCTACATTCACAACCTCCATAGTGATACCTATTTACAAGAAAGGTGATAAACTGAAGCCAATAAACTATAGACCTATCAGCTTAATAACAAACATAACAAAAATTTTTGAAATGCTGTTAAAAGATCGTTTAGAAGATTATATAAAAAAATATAAAATAATATCAGATAGACAGTTCGGATTTCAGAAGGGCAAATCTACGCAAGGTGCTATAATATCACTAACTAGTCAAATATATGAGGCAATGGATAAAGGTACTCCTGCAATTGGCATTTTTCTGGACCTTGCCAAAGCGTTTGACACCGTAAGTCATGACAAACTTATCAATGTTCTAGATAGCATAGGGGTTAGAGGCGCTCTTTTGAGACTTCTTACTGGATATCTGAAAAACCGTAAACAAATGGTAAGGATAAATGAAAATTTAAGTGAGATGATGATACCAAAGTATGGAGTCCCACAAGGTACTATTTTGGGACCGCTTCTTTTCATACTATATATAAACAACCTCTTTAGAGTAGAAATCAAGGGTACTATCACGAGTTTTGCAGATGACACAACAATATTATATAAAAGTCATAACTGGGAATCCTTAAAAGATATAATACAGAAAGACTTTATCAATGCTTAATGTGGAGAAAACAAATTTTATGTGTTTTGGTTTATATTCAAATAGTTTACCACAATTAAATATTCTTACCTTTACCACGTGCAGGGAAAGTTTTAGTATTGAATCCTCCAATTCGGTCAGATTTCTTGGATTGACATTGGATCCACATCTGAGATGGGATCTACAAGTGCGGGAAATAAACAAAAAACTTAGATGCCTATTACATTATTTTAAATTACTTTATCCTATATTAAATATAACCCAATTTAACACTGTATACGACGCACTTGTGGAGTCGCATCTTAGATATGGTATCCTTGGGTGGGGTGGTTTATACAGTAATCACTTGCAGGATGTGGAGTTGCTACAAAAAAGAATTTTAAAAATAATGCATGGTGTTAAAATTACTTACCCAACGGACGAATTATTTCTCATCTCTGGTAAGATGGATTGTAGACAACTTTATTATCTTAATCTTTTAATATACACCCATGCTCAAAAAAAGTCACTTCCATTAGTAAACAGTAGATTTACGAGACAAAAAGATCATTTACTTGTTCCAAAGATGCGCAAAACCATTGGCCAAAGGTGTTTAACCTACCTTGGTCCGAAATTATATAATACCCTCCCAGAAAATATAAAAAACATACTTATTCCAAATTCATTTAAAAAAATAAGCAAAAGTTATGTACTACAAAAACCCAGACGGTTTGTGTCTAACGAAATTGACTTAAAAAACTGCTCATTATGTGTATAGTGTTTATAAATTGTCGTTTTTAAATCTTCAATATTTTTAATAAATTTTTAATTTTTAATTAGTTTTCATATTTCTATTTTAAGTACTATAGGCCTCCTTTTATCTTTATTTTTAGATTACTTAAGTTTTAGTCTGGAATTAGTCTACGAATAATTATATATTGTCTATAGCTATAAATTATTTATTTGTGTTTTAGTATAATCTTACTGTATTGTTAAGGTTTTAAAGCGATACTGTTGTTTATTATACATTGTACTCGTTTTATGATTTATTATACATTTTTTATTGTTTATTTATTGTACCTGCACGCACAAATGTTTCTTACATTTATAGTGCAGATTAGCATATTTGTTGCAAACTTGTGAAATGTAAAGTTACTTGTAAATTATTTTATAATGCAATAAATATTATTATTATTATTATTATTATTATATATATATATATATTATATATACATCCCTAATACAATATTGCGTCATTACAATTCGCGACCTTATTGCGTCTACTAGAAATACGGTATTTAGCGAAAATATAGAAGAGTATATTGGCGTACTTTTTTTTGCTGATTCCAAAAATCTGGTCAGATTTTTTTTATCTTAAAAAATAAGATATACACTTTTTTTTCAAAAGTCACTACATTATCAACTCATTTTAATCTTGATATAATATTGCGTCACGTGTATATTTCATTTTAAATTTTATATGGCTTGTACAGACTTTATTGCGTCCTACAGTGTTGCCAAATTGTAATGACGCAATATTGTACTAAGGATGTATATTTATGTATATGTATATATATATATATATATATATACATATCCGTAATACAATATTGCGTCATTACATTTTGCGACCTTATTGCGTCTCCTAGAAATACGGTATTTAGCGAGTCAACTTTAATAAGATATAAATGAATTTTTAACATGTGATTTTTCTTCTATGTAATTTTTAATATTGATATTTTGCATGTTTATAGAATAATGTCTGTATTAGGAATGTAAGGTTTAAAAAGTTTTAATTAATTTTATATTAAATTTTAAATATCCCTATTATTTTTTAAACCTTCAAGGTTTTAGTTTCTATTTTTTTCTTGCTATACATTTTAACATGAATAATTACCATTAATATTATAGTAATAATTACTATAGTAATTCTTTTTGAAGGGTATATTTGTTCGTATTCTTAATGAAAAATAGCATACTTACTTTACTAAGAGAAATAGTAAAGAAAAGTATTATATTAATCAATGCTTTTTCATGACACTAGCAGCATAAATTCGACTTTCGCTTAAAATAAGTTCTTTAATAATGAATATTATTAATTAAGCCAATTATTGTCTTTAGTTTGGTATATTTTAGTTTATGAATTAACTTAAATATTAACAATTTTTCTCTCTTAAAGGGCAGCGAAAGTCGAATTTTCATTTTGTCATAAAAAATAGTGTACATATTTCGTGGTAAAAGGCGGCGATTTCTAAATAGTGTGTTCTACATTCGCCTCGCTCGTGCAGCAAAGCTCACGATTGGTCATAGAAAACCGCATAATAGTTTTCTAGTGTATCTCGAGTCCGGCAAATTTCGATACATTTTCTGATTTATACGACAAGATCTCATCTGAAAACTCCTCCAAATCATCGGAGTCGTCGAGTTCCATTACGATAGAGTCGGAGGATGATACAGTGCTTGTGCTACTAGCTTGATCCATGCATAACTTCTGTTTATAGTCAAGGTCGACTTGGAATTTTTGCAAGGTGTTTTCTTCGGTGTTTTCCTTGTACCGCCTATAAATCTTTTTAATCGGCCAGTACTTACTCTACCGTCGGACTGATCTAAAAGCCAGCAGTACGATGATTATTTAATAATTGAATATATAATATTATATAGGTACGGTGATTTTTCCGATACACTGTGCACTTTTTTAGAAAAGTCTTTTAAACTTATACAACTCGTTTTCAAAGTATCACATTCGCGATCTTCATTAGAAATCTCGTTTGAAATAAAGTCCATAACTTCATCCATAACTTTATCGTCCTCATTACTAATATTTGTTTTTGCCAATTTTCTTCGAGGTTTTCGACAATTTCAGCGTTGTCTTCGTCGGCGTCTTCAGTATTCTGTGTAATTGCAATATTTTGTTTCCGTCTTATTAACGGTACCTACCTGCATATATTTCCAATCGTTTTCTTTTGCATTAATTCCAAGATGTTTCATGTCCTCTATGACATTTTGTAGAGCTTTTTTAACTGTAGATTTGATATCCAAATTTAAAATTTCTTCTTCACGTAAAAGTAAAAGTCCCCCTAAGATCGTTTATGGTATCAGTTGTCTTAATTCTCTCAATTCGGTTCAGCATATCCTTTATACTAAAATGTATTATTGTTGAATACGTAGAAGTCATGGATCTGGCAGCCCGAAATAAGGATTCACATGCTTGGCTACCAAAAATGCCGGTGATGAACATATCTGTTTTTAACTCACCGCTGTTAAGCTTCAGTATTAGTTTAAGTCAAAGCATGGGCGTTTCGATGCAAAGGTTACAATTACTGGTCAAAAAGTTGTCTGTTATTTTATATTCTTTTTGTTCTTTAACACAGGCTTTCCAGATTCTAGTAAAAAATACAACATACCAGATGCGATATAATCTAGTATGCAACACAGAATTTAAGAACGACGCGTCGCGACGATTCGATGTAGTACATTAGCTTGAGATACGCCACGCTCTATTTAATTTGTGGAATTTCCTTATTCAGTCGTTCAATTACTATCAAACTGCACATTTTTTCTGCGGATGCAAAATTCATCTTGTCTTCACTTTTGAGATCCGAATCTGTCAGGAGATGTTTGTCTTTTTAAAACTTTAAAATTAATTCCCTGAGATGACCAGAGAAGACAGTGTATTTCCCAATTGGCAGATGTATTCCTGGTTTTAGGAAACGAGTACTATTTTTTGTTAAAATATGGGTGGTGTGCTGTACACAACATTCTTCATTTTTTTCAATGCTGCAGTGGTACTACTCCCAATCTGGAACTGGCAAAGAATGGAGTAGCTCTGTAACTTCCGGTTTCTTTGTTTTTTTCTTTATATTCAAGTGCTAAACGAGACATCAATTTTCTTCTAATTTCTTTCTAATTCCCCACTAATTCCACTATTTTCTTACTAATTTACCGAGTAATTCCTCAAATTCCTCTAATTCCTTACTAATTCCTACAGATTGTACACCAAAATTCCCCTGCGGTTTACCCCTCGGGGTAAACCGCAAAAGAAAATGTGTACACTAAAAATTTTAGTGAACATAAAAAAATCACTAAATTCAAAAAATTCTTTTATTTTTTTGAGGGTTCATTGTCATTGTAAGAAGGGTACACAAATAAGCTGTTTTTTTCAGATTTTTAAAAACAAATTTAGCCGCGCCCCCGGGGGGTTGAAATTCCTCAAAATTCAATAAAAATATTTTTTAAGTTAAGTTTTGAATTTTGCATATTAAAAAATATTAGGTATAAACTTACTTAAGACACACAAAAAAAAATATTTATATATTTTAATTTTACGCCGCGCACCACGGCTTTTTTTTTAATCGAAGAGCTGCATATTAGAACTTTCAAAGCTTTGGGGAGGGGCTTAAAATTAAAATATATTAACAAGATTTTTTTTGTGTTACAAGTGAGTTAAAACCTTATAGTTTTTTAATATGCCAAATTCAAAATCCCCCGGGGGCGCGGCAAAAATTAGAAATTCGGTAGGCTGGGCTGAAATAATTATTTTTGGAAATCTCACTTAGTTAAAAAAAAGTTTTGAGAAGGGTATTTGTATAAGCTGTTTTTTTTTAATTTTTAAAAATAATTTTTGCCACGCCCCCGGGGGATTGAATGTTTTTAAAATTAAGACAATTTTTTTTTAACTAACATTGTGTGGTATTATTTGATTTTAAGATATACATGTATTTAATTATGCCTGAACATAGAGATGATGGACGGGGTGACATTCCATAGACCGCTCAACATTCGAGTTTCGAAACTACTTATTTAACTTGCTACTGCATTGTTTAATGATATTATTATGAATAATTTTGTTTAGTAATGTTATTATTATAATATGATGTAATATTATTATTATTACAATAATTAAAATTATAATAATTATTATTATAAGACATTTAAATTTGTATTGTGTTTTTGTTATTTTGTGTAAAAACTGTAATAAATCTACTAAAGATACTAAAGAAAAAATGTCAAAATTTACTAAAAACTATTTTTTTTAATCCGCCCATAAATAATTTACATAAAAAGTTTTACTTCAAAACAAAGTTTGATAATTCAAAAACAAAAGCTCAATTGAAAAATATTTATTAGAAAGCCTAATTTAGATTGTCAATTTTTAGTAGAAACACGCTGTATTTATAACATTGATGTATTACTTTTTTTTTTAATTTTTTTGAATTACCTGTTAATAACATAAAACACATTGTAGTTATTTACATTGATATTAACCTTTTTTTTTAAGTACATGAAACATGCAAAACTTTTATTATTTTTGAAATAGTAAAATTAACAGAAAAACGATGATCATTTTTTTACGATTATAAGCGTAAAAAATGATAATCGTTTTTCTGCCTTTAAATCTGCATCTGCATATATAATTTAAAAAATACATTGTCACAATTACTTATGTACAAAACAATTTTATCTTACAATCAGTTTTAATAAATCCACCGTCATAATTGTAAATTTCATAAAACTCGACGCGCGCCCCAAGATTATAATATGATTACATTTAAACGAAAGGACAACTGTCTCTAGTGTGATGTCACACGGTGCGAGAGAAACAGCGCTACCATTCGCAACAGTATCGTGAGTTTAATTCAAATATTAAAATCATAGGCGAGACGTTGCCAAATTGTGCGACGCAACAACATACAGTATTTAAAAACACGTATATTGAAAAACGTATATTATCGCAACGCCCTCATCGTCAAATGGGTTGAACTAAATATACAAATTTTTTTCATTTTTAGTATGTTGCTGCACACATTTTGTGTTCAAATTTTTCTAAATATTTAAAAAACGCAGGGTCGGACATAAAAAATTTTTGGACACAAAAATTGGGAATTAAATTCTTCACAGATCTGTATTAGCCAGAATCTTAGAAAGTGCCGGGATGAAGTAAATTTTAAGAAATAAGCGCTTGACATTAGTGCGTCAGATATACTGACGCAGTAAGGTCGTTGACGCAATAAGAATAGGGATTTTATAAATGTATGGACGCAGCAATGATAGAATTTTGTATATATATATATATATATATATATATATATATATATATATATATATATATGTATGTATATATATATATAATATATATATATATATATTATATATATAGAATAACCTTTATATGCCGCTTAAAATAAACTTAAAATTTCCGACTTATAAAGATTCTTGGGTGGATGGCCCATAATTTTTAAATTATACTTGTGCCTAAGGACGCTTTTGATTACACTCTTTAACCTGGATAATAATATTGTCACAATTTTTTTTTAAATGAAATCAAATAGGAAAACAAAAATTCCTAGGAGTTAAAAATAATAACTTAATCTTTATCTTAATCTTTGGGACTTTTCCTGTTTGGAATGGTGAGCAAAAAATAATCAAATTTGACCCTAAATATACAAAATAATATTTTTATTTAAACCTGCAAAAACCAGCTAAAATTTAATTTTTTAACTTTTAAACTCAAATTGTCATTCGCATGTCTTGTCCCCAGCACGTCTGTGAAATTTAAATTGATGAATTACGTAATAAAAATTATACTTGATATATTTTTGATATATTTTTGTATATTTTTTCCATTTGAAAAAGAGTAAAATTTTAAGACGAAAGAAAAGTTTATTATAAGCATAAACAAATTTCTTAATTGGGGTGTACATATTTTAAACTCCCGCAAAAAATAAAGGTATGTTTAAAACCAAGGTTGTATGAGCGTACTTAGCATCCTTTGATAGGTAGGACTATCTATAGGTAGGCCTCAGTTACTTCAAAATTACTCAATATTTTTAGAATCACCCAATATATACATAACACGTATTTGTATAGAACATAATATATTCTATACAAATAAGTGTATAGAAGTGTATAGTGTATAAAAGTTTTCACAAAAATTCAGCTTATTCCGTTAGATTCCGAGGTTGATCCCTTTTTTTGACTAATATGACTGTACTAACACTTATTTGTATAGAATATATTGTGTTGCGCATATGTTGTCTCTTCCCGTTGCAAGTCGTGAGGGAAGTTTTAGTAAATAAAAACTAATAATTATTTACGTTCTTTTACGAGTTAGGAAAGATTGTTTAAGTGATTGTTTAAGTGATTTAAACTGTTTCGCTTTTGCACAAGCAAGACATTTTGAGGGTGTAGTAGATACGTATGTTTGTTAAGAGAGAAGCAGACAAAATTAATTTTTAATAATTATGTAGTTAGGCATTTTTGTTCTACGTAGGTTATTTGACTCTAAAAAAATAGGGAAGGCAAATTGCGTCTTTCTCTTCCTTACTGGATCCGTACTGATAAATTGTTATAGTGGTAGTATGAATTTGTAGCGTTCAAGTAATGACATTTTATATTCAAAATAATTGATAGTAAAACGTTGATAAATTTCGTTTATCATTGTATGTCTACAAGAAACTGAAACTATAAGTTTATTAAACACATTTTAACAAACCTTTTTAGATCCTCAAAAAAAACTTTAAATTTTAGGTTAAGAAGCTTCAATTTTCGTGCCTTATCAGAGATTTCAGCAGAAAGCTGAACCAAGCACTTTTAAAGCTTTCTGGCGTGATTTAAGTGGACTTGCTTTTGAATTTCGGAATTTATTGGACGACCCGAGGACTACTAAACACTTAAACATTTGAGGTCTTCTTAAAATTTATTGCGGTACGAAACTCCTTGAGTTTCCGTTTTAAGCTCTAGGCATTACAACTTCAATTATTCTTGACACACATTTTCCAACTTTCCTAAATTTTACAATAAAATACATTTTATAATTAAATTATGTATTTATAAATAAATTAATTTTATAATTTTAATAACATACATAGGTATAAAGTGTTTTCAAAACTAAATTGCAAAAAAAATACTTAATAGTATATTCTGTTACAAGTTTGGAATACGGCATATTTGTTTGTCACACAAGCCGAAGACGGTTTCACGAGAGAGGAATATGCAATTCCAAACGTGTTTCAGACTATACTTTTTCTACGTTTCCAAAAAATACCATAACAAATAATTTAATTGGAAAAAAGTGAGGTTGGATCGGTCTAAAATTTGTTAGATATTAAAAATAGAGATGTCGCCACGAGTGTTTATTCTGTCATCCGATAGAATATTTCATTCACTTTACGGAATATATGTCATTCCATAGATAAAAGTGATATTAGAACGGTCATAATATTACGAAATATTATTTCGTAATAGGAGTAGAAAAAATATATTTTTCTACTCCCACCTTTAAAACGCCCTTTATCGTACATGTTTCCATGACACTAAGTGACCTTTTAAATACACATTCACAAGTTGTGGCTTTATGGCGCTTTAGTCACGGGCTAAAGTTAGCAACAGGTTTTTAGTCACGGGCTGAAGTTAGTTTTAAGTTAGTTGACAGTTGTCAAATGTCATACAATCGTTAAAATAATTTGCCTTTCTTGTAAAATAATACTAAATGTTAAAATTATTTTATTATCTCAATACAAAAATACAAAAGTATTAAATAGTTTCTCAACGCCAATATTTGAAAAGTTTATATGAACATTGTACTGACTTTTTAATTTCGCCGGCAGTAAACTATAACTTAAATTCGGACACGCACTCCACTGTAAAGTCCTCATAAAACATTTTCTTTATTTTCACTGTGAAAAACTGTCAATTTTCAAGAAATAGGTACATTTCGATTTATAACCTTAAATTCGGACACGCACTCCACTGTAAAGTCCTCATAAAACATTTTCTTTACTTTCACTGTGAAAAACTGTCAATTTTCAAGAAATAGGTACATTTCGATTTATAACCTTTATAATCTGTGTTTATAAAATAATAAAAATGTGACATTTGACGGTGACACACAGATTGTTTCATAGATGGCGCTCTATACAAATTTTTGATTTAAATCAGTATTTGTCGTAGAAAAAGTATACTATGCACCTCGTTTATAAACTTTTCTATACACTCATTAATTTAAGCACTCGCTCGCAAGCTCGCTCGTGCTTAAATTAAATTCGTGTATAAAATGGCGTTTATCAAACTTGATACATAATATATTATTACCAACATGTTTCATGGGGTAATAAAACATGCTAGGCATTAATCCCGGCGCATTCGCCATTATTAAACAATATGATTTTTAAGTTAAAACAGGTAAAAATTCATTAGAAAAAAATAGTGGCATATAATGTAGGTACATTTTTTTATTTTAATGTTAATATAAAAAATATACAGCGCGCTGCAGAGTACAAATAAAATATATAATAAAAATAAATACTATTTTGTTTATCAACGTTGGTTAAGATTAACATAAATAAAATGTAGTTTTTTTATTATTAATTTATTATACAGTATGGAATAAAATTCGTTATTCGTTAAGAAAAGATTTTTATGAAAAACGCTCGGACACGTAAACTTTAGTTTTTTATTCCAAATCTTATAATGATAATTTTAAATTTTATGCCCCCACCATTTTCCCCCCCGCACATTAGGCACCCTTATCTTAAATAACAACCCCACTTTTTTTCATCGAAAATTGATAGTGCACATTTTTTTGAGTACGACGATACCACATAAGTAGGGTTTATTAACCATAATTTTCAATACAGGGTGAATATTTAAAAATTACAAGTATGAAGTTTTTATTGTTATTCTATGATTTAGTTTCTTGTGTTGTGGCTTTCGCTATTTAGATATTCATGTTTTTTCGCTTTGTTATTGTTTTTTGTTAATGCCATTTTTTGCGTTTGTCCTTTTTGCATTGTTTACATTTTTTGCATTGTTTAAATTTTTATTATTAATGAAACATTTTGCGCTTTACTTATTGAAGTATTTTGTTAGATCCAAGTATCAGTTAACTCTGAAACTCTGCGAATAGAAATATTAATGATGATTGGTTACGGTGATATGTGCAGATCACAACAGCAAGTTGCAAACCTTTTTAATGGAAAATACCCAGATTTACCACCACTTTCTCAGGCAACTGTGTCTAAAATACATGCACAATTTCGTGAATATGAAGACGTTAAACCATTAAGCAGGACGCCTCATTTTATTGATGGAAATGTGAAAGTTAATATTTTATTAGCTTTTCAAGAAGATCCAACAACTTCTACGCGTCAGGTTGCACGTGAAAACGACGTTAGTCATTCGACCGTTTTAAGATGTAAAAGCCGAAAAAAATGCATCCATATAAACTACAACACGTACAAGAATTGATTGATGGTGATTCTGATAGAAGATTACAATTTTGCGAGCAAATGCTGCATATGTTAAACAGGAATGTTATTTCTTCTACAGATATTCTTTTTTCTGGTGAATCAACATTTCTATTAAATGTCGAGGTAAATTGACAAAATTGCAGGTACTGGGCAGAAGAAAATCCCCACTGGATGCGACAAAATCATACCCAACGCCCTCAGAAAATCAACGTTTGGGCTGGTATTGTTGGTGATCATGTGGTGGGACTTATTTTCATTGAAAATCTTAACGGGGCAAGATATCTGGATATGCTAAGAAAACAAGTCCCAACTTTAGCAGAGTTGTTTCCAAATCCATTGGAACCTAATCTTCCCAATGAAAGGATATGGCTTCAACAAGACGGTGCCTCACCCCACTATGATCTTCCTGTACGGAATTATTTAAATGACACCTTTCCACACAGGTGGATCGGAAGAAGAGGTTTTATAGAATGGCCAGCAAGATCACCGGATCTAACACCTCTAGACTTTTTTATGGGGATATCTAAAAAACAGGGTGTTTAAAACACAACCTGCTAATTTAGATGAATTAAAAAACAGAATTACTGGAGAAATTAGGAACATAACACCGGAGGTTTTAAACAGAGTGCGGGAACAATTTCACAGTAGATTACTAAAGTGTCAGGAAGTGGACGGGGCACATTTTAAACATTTATAAGATCGAAGAACACTTTATTTTTGATTTTTTTATTAATTTTAAAATAAAAAGTTTAGTTTTTTAATTTGTCATTATATTTCCACCCTGTATTGAAAACTGTTTACTAAACCCTACTTATATGGTAGTGTCATACTCAAAAAAATGTGCACTATCAATTTTCGATGAAAAAAAGTGGGGTTGTTATTTAGGATAAGGGTGCCTAATGTACGGGGGGAAAATGGTGGGGGCATACAATTTATAATTATCATTATAAAATTTGGAATAAAAAACTAAATTTTACATGTCCGAGCGTTTTTCATAAAAATCTTTTCTCAACGAATAACGAATTTTATTCCATAAGTGAGTTCCACACTGTATATTTTTTTCTATAGACATTTTAACTTCTTTACTTTTGACAAAAACCTAATAAAAAGAGTTGTATTTTTGGCTCCAAATCTAACAAACCCTTTCTTTCTTTTCAAAGGAATTGTACACAACCCCCAAGACTGACGTCCACATGCCAAACATGCGAACAATCGCCGCCTAGACTACTCCTCGATCAAATCGTCCGATCACCTCCAACGCCACCCCAGAGATTCGAAGGCATCAAGCTGGCGCCGTTCAAGTTGAAGTTCGGAAGGACGTCGAAATCGAACTCCTCGACGAGGAGCAACTCGACGGAGACGGCGGAGTGCGAGATCGGCAGCCCGCAGAGCGGCGTGCCGGCGGCCATCATGGAGGGTCAAGAGGGCCAGGAGATGGACCCGATAAGCCCGCCGCCTTCCTACGAGCACGTGCTCGAAGAGGTAACCTTGATTATTCTGATGTTTTGAAGTATTTCAAGGCTGAGTGGTTGTTGTTTGATCTAGGTGGGGTTCTAAATTGAGAATATTTATTTTGTAGATTGTGTTTACAGATGTATTTAATGGGGTGTTGGCTAAATAATACTACGTATTTTACCTAGAAAATATATTATATATATATATTATATTGAAATATTGTTGTTGTTAGTCTAGTAGCAAACTACAAGGTCTCCAGGATGCATAGTATAGGTGAAATCTATAATTATAAATTGGAGATTGCTGACTTTGATATGAATTGCTGGAGATTGCTCGTTTTGTTGTAAACGTTTAAGGAGATTTAGAAAAAAATAATTGTTTTTTTTTTCCTTTAATGGTTATAAAATTTAACTTTTTAATCAATGTGGGAAAATTCTGAACTGAACCACATAAATCTGGAGTTTCTTCTAAATCTGGGACCAGGTTGCCTCGTGCAAAAAAGTTTTTATAGTACAACAACTCATCATCTTCTTCCCACTTTGCCCCTTAATGTTTTACTTGCAATGTTTTGACATTATCAGCCTTTTCTTGCTTTACCTTTACGTCATTATGGTATAATAGCACAAAATAAACAAGATAACTTTTTTTATAATTCTTAAAACAATAAAACGTATATATACCTATTTTAAATATATTTTTAAGTGCAATTTACTGCAATAGAACTTAACAGTATGTACCAGTATAAAAACACAAAATTAAATCTCTAAAATACGTTATAACATCAAATGTTAGGATATCAGGTGACACAAATTACTAATTTCTAATGGTGGAATTGGAGATTATATACTGTGCTGCAAATCTATCAGTGGAGATTGTCGACTTTGCACTAAATGTCATTTTTAAAATAGGATTTTAGGCAGGATTTAGCTCCTTTTGCAGCACATAAACTTTATCATCTTATAGATAATTAGTTGAAGTACAGTCTCCGCCAAAAATCTAATTTTTGACCAAAAGTGGAGATTGTCGGTTTTGCTATGACAGGCCTCAAATATAAAATTTGTAAAAGTGTTTATTTTAAATTGTGTTAAAGTTCATTCGTGTTAATTTAAATTCATTTAACACAGCACCGTGTCAATCTAGTGTTAATTTAAAGATATACTCGACGCGGTGTATATTTGACACTATTATGTGTTGACAGCTACACAAATCGTGGTATAAAAGTTACGTAGTCATCACCATTCGCTAACGGCAAGGGTGCGATCAGTATTCCGAGTGCAGTTGATGGTAGTGTACCTATGCATGCTAATTTAATTTAAGACCATGGTTTTTAAATTAAAATTTAGTGGTCTGGTGAAGTGGTGCAATGTGACAGTGGATGCAACTTATGTTTGTGATAAAACATGTTTTTTTACCTGTTATTTTTAAGTGAAATATGAAATTTAGTAATATTTTAAGTTTTTGAGCTTGTGAAAAATCATATTTATATATCTATATAAGCTAAATATGGTTTTGAACAAACTGGAAAAAAAATATTACTACTTTTCATTCAATTAAAAAAAAATTATTAACTCTTCTTGGTTATAAGAATTACACCTAAGTAGTGCTAATCATTTTTTTTAATTTTATGCCAACGCCTATTTGTTTTCATATCTAATAGTTTGTAAGTAATATAAAATATACTTTATTTTACATTACATGCTGTGTTTAATATTAAAACACTTACATCTAACTGTGTAGTAAATTACACCAAATTGAGTTCTTTTACCAATAGTGCGTGTTGCTTTTGCCCCTAAGAGGGGTATGATTTTTACACTGTTACGAGTTTTTTGTACGAATAGTACGTGTAGATTATTAACCAATTAAAAAGGGTAAAATTTACCGAATTTTATGAGGTTAGATATACCGTTTCTAGTGTGGACCTATATAGACCACTTTTGTTGTTTTTTACCAGAAATTTTATACTGTGTAGAAGGATCTAGAATTTTTGCATTAAGCACCTACATTCATGTACGAATTAATATTTAACTATTTAGTAACTTGGCTTTTATTACAAATTTAGCTCCAGAATTCGAACTATTTTTTATATTTTGTGGTTGTTTAGAGTATAATGTATAAATATCAAAAGTAAAACATTCCTAAAAAACTCCGTGTTCCGTTCAGGTGGGTCAATTAACCCTCTATGACGAGTAAGGATGTCATGGATATCATCTCTAAATTTAATTTTATTGTAAAGATAGGGTGGGGACTTATTTTTAATAATTTTATGATAAAAACAAAGCTTATGCAATTTTCTTCGATTAGACATGTTAAGCCAGCCTGATTGTCTTAGATATGGTGAGATAAGTGCTCTTCTGTGTTCTCCATAAATGAGGCATAGACATGAATTTTGCATTCTTTGTATTCTTCTTTTGTCAACTTTACTTAAGTAGGTATCATAGACAGAATCGCAATAATTAAAGTTTGAAAGTATAAGAGAGTCACACAAAACTTTATTGAAGCTTTGGGTAAAAATATGTCGATTAGCATATAACGTTTTTATTTTATAGTAAGCCTTTTGTAACATACTTGTTACATTAATATAGAAATCGTCGGTTGTAAAAATACATAAAATAGATGTATGAATATACACTCACGTGCAAAATAATCGATCCACACAAATTTTCGATGAATTTCAATCGCAAATAACTTTTTTATTTAATGTCGGATTTAAACGAATATTAAAGAATATTGTAGATAAATTAATGGACAATCGCTCAAATTTTAAAAAAATACTAAAAAAAGACGTACGTTTATAATATACAGGTTTAAACAAAAAGATGTTTTTTACCATAAGTTTAAGACACTCTGTAGAGTGGCAAAACCGTATATTGTTTTAAATTAGGTTTTATTTATCAAGTCACATCTATTCTTAACAGTTTTGTTTTTGGTTCACCTCGATATATTTATTTTTGTGGAAAATATGAATTTTTTTAAAAAACATTGCAATTTCCAATATTTTTCAGTATGAAGAACTAAGGTTGCTATGGTCCATCCATAGGCTATGGAGAATGACAGTGACAGTTTTGTTGAATCATCCCATACTTGGACATGTCATACACGGTTTTCAAAAGCTATTAAATTGTTTTTGGCAAATTAATGCTTAAATTTTTAGGTGTCTTCTTACTTTATAAAATGGATATGTCTCCGACTGATGTTGCCAGAGCCATTAATTTAATCCAGGATGGACGGTCACAGTATTACGTGGCAAGTGTTTTAAACGTCATAAGAAGTAAAGTACAAAGGGCAACATCAGTCGGAGACATTTTTAAAAGTAAGAAGACACCTCGAAATTAACACATTAATTTACAAAAAACAATTTGATAGCTTTTGAAAGCTGTATATGACATGTCCAAGTATGGGATGATTCAACAAAACTGTCACTGTCATTCTCCATAGGCTATGGATGGACCATAGCAACCTTAGTTCTTCATACAGGAAAAATATTGGAAATTGCAATGTTTTTAAAAAAAATCCATATTTTCCACAAAAAAAATATATCGAGGTGAACCAAAAACAAAACTGTTAAGAATAGATGTGACTTGATAAATAAAACTTAATTTAGAACAATATACGGTTTTACCACTCTACAGAGTGTCTTAAACTTATGGTAAAAAACATCTTTTTGTTTAAACCTGTATATTATAAACGTACGTCTATTTTTTAGTATTTTTTTAAAATGTGAGCGATTTTCCATTAATTTATCTACAATATTCTTTAATATTCGATTAAATCCGACATCAAATAAAAAAGTTATTTGCAATTGAAATTCATCGAAAATTTGTTTGGATCGATTATTTTGCACGTGAGTGTATAAACAAACACAAAAATATCAAAAAACTAACTTTAAATTATAAAACAAAAAATTAATCTAACCAAAACTCACTCATGGCAACATAATAATTTTATATAATACATAATATAATACCCGTTCTGGGATTTTTACCATTGAGTGGACACTTTCTCAATCAACGCTTTTAATAATGCACATTATGCATTGCATTGCATAGCGCTGTTTAAATTTAGACGACCTATTTGTTTTATAATTTTTACTGATTTGAAATCCTTACAATTTTCACGTAAATCATTACTAAAATGAAAATTTATTGCATTTACAATATAAATATTTATTTACAGTAACTTACTAATTCTTTAATATGATTTTGAAAATATTTTTGTTTAACATTTCTATGAAACTAAAATTAAAAATATTATGGTATATAAAAGTATTTTAAATTAATAATTTTGAATATTAAACTTTTATGAACCTATTTCTACCTAGTTCATAGAATCCTAATATTTTAAGATATTAATTTAAAATGTAAATTATGCGAAATTAACTTGTCTTGAAATTCTGCCTAAGCAGTGATTAGTAATCACAAATAATATTCCCTGTTATTACTTTAGACTTCCAAATATTCCACTTAACGTCTATTGCCTAGGTGCTTATAACTTATAATATCGTTAATAAGCTTTACTGTGGTGTTTGTTTTATCCAGTACAGTAATCAAAATAAATTATACTGGTGTTAATTATATTAATTATGTGGTTCCTTTATAGCGACGTAGTTGCGCAAAAGGGTGGAAATTTTCGCCGCGAAACGATTTTTCTTTTTCATTGTCTTTTATTATACGGCTTTTGAGCGAGGCAAGGTAAAATGTTTACCTTGAGAACTGTGGGGAATATTTTTGCAAGAATACTGCCACGAAAGGAAATGTAAAGAATTCAATTAAGTTATTTACTTTACATTTTTAAAAAGAGTGTAGACTTTGTTTTGCAGTTGGGAAGTTTAATTATGTTTTCTTGGGATTTCTATGATTTCTTATAAAAATACATTTCTTTAACATAAAATAAAATGTTTGCGTCTACAACAAAATAAGAAGCTTTCTATTTGTATGTTTATAATAAGCACGTTTCGTATTTTTCCATTCGAATAAAGAACTCATGCCATAACAAATTTTATTGAACTCACAATTATAATAATTGGACTCGTTTTATGACATTATTTCATTAAGTTC